AGATCAAGTCCAAACTCCTTAGCTTAATATTTAAGGCCCTGACCAGCCTGATTCTAGACTACATTTCCTATGTAAATGGGACTCCCCATTTAAAACCCCAGGACATGCAACTCCTTGTTTTCCAAGGTAATTGGAAATAGAGAACATAAACACTTCAAAATCAAAGGTAACAATATTAAATTTGGGCTAAGAGCACCAGATTTTTCTCTGTCATCATCAGAGTTCACTCCACTACTTATTTTTGTTTGTTTGTTCATTGGAAGCTACCCATTGTCTTCACTATCAGAGACATGTAAACAAGGATCCTGGAATGCTGGTGAACCTTGAGCCCTGGCAAGGGCCAGAGCTATGCACCAATTGTTTAGTCAAGACAATATGGCTCAAGCAATTTCCTGACCCAATAGTCTCAGAGTAAATCTTTACTGACCTTTAAGATAGTCTGTTACCGGAATTGCCTGCCTGACTAAGGGCTATATGTGTATCCAAAATTGAATAAAAGGTTGGCAAGGTGTGGGCACCAGTGGAAGTCCTTCCCCTTGTGTTGGGCTTCCCGCCTGGCCCCGAATATTTCCAAATTATTATTTCTTGTCTTGTGGCCCATTTGTGTGTGGCCCTTCTCCAGATCCTGAACCTTGAACCACGCAGGATAGGTTCACACATTTGTTTTGTTAATTCTCACCAGAGGATTTTTTTTCATTGATTTTTAGTGAGTGAAAAGGAGGGAGGGGGGCAGAGATAAGAGAGAGAGAAAGAGAGAGGGAGAGAGAGAGAGGGAGAGAAACATCCACATGAGAGAGACACATTGGTTGGATGCCTCCCACATGCACCCCAACCACCCATGGTCAGGACTGAACCTGAGCCTGCAATCCAGGTGTGCCTCTGACCGAGACCCTTCAGTGTTCAGGCAGACGCTCTAACCACTGAGAAACACTGGCCAAGGCACTCCACTACTTATTATTATTGGCTGTGTGCCTTTGGGCAAGTTTCTAACCTTTTTCTGACCCAGTTTCTTTTTCTATAAAAGGGGCAAGATTATGTCTTATAGGAGTAAGGATTAAACTCAATAATGTATGCAAGCCCTTTAAACACAATAGTTAGCAGATGGCCAATAAATGGTACCTATTATTATTTTTATTATTGCTGTTTCACTTCTAAGCACATTTACACAATTCATTCAAGTCATTATAAGAGCATTATTAGAGCACTGGATTAAATGGGTTTTGAACCTGGATTTCCACCAGTTTGTATGAACTCTGGCACATCCCTTCCCTGGGCCTCTGTTTCTTCACCTATAAAATATGGGTGTTTCCAAGATGGGGAGGGTGCACCTCTGCAGTGGATCTCTAAAATTCCTGACACCTCTAAAGCCCCATAAGGGTAAGCCACAATGTCTCCCTCAGGGCAAGTCCAACCTTACCTTCTAGATGGGCAGGTCTGAGTCCTGATTCTTTTTCTTGACTATAAGGAATTCACCCCTTTCAGCTTCATTTCCCCTGATTGTAGAACAGCAAACAAAACAATTTTAAAAACAAACACATGTACTACTTCTTTCCTCGCAGCGTTCCCGTTGTAGGCAGCATGAATAGCATCAGGTGTATGACCGGTGGGGTCAGACCACATCTGGGTTTAGCAACCTCGGTACTTGGGTTCTGGCTAGGAAAGAATGAACTCCAGGCCCAAACTGTAAGAGAAGATTTATTGGGTAAATTACAGAAGTAGAAAAGTAATTCCTAGAAGAAATGGGCTTCAGAAACAAGTTATAGGTGTAAAGGAAGGACCCTTGGAGCTTGGGAGTGAGGAAGCTAATGGTAAGGTGCCAGGGGCAGGAAGCTAATGGTAAGGTGCCAGGGGCAGGGAAGGAGAAGGGAGAGGGAAGAGAGTGAGTGTGCTCCTAGGAGGGAGAACATACTGGGATCCTCCATCCTGAGGGTTTTAAGGGCAGATAGTGTAGGGGAGGTCCCAGGGGAAGATCTCAATAGAATCTTCAGCAGTTTTACAGGTGTGTCCTTTCAGAGTCGTGGTCTCCACTGATTGGCCGGCACCAGGGCAGAGGGTCATTATTCAATGCAGCCAGCTCTGAGGTCAGCCTTGGCTTTGCTTATCTGGTGTTGTTGCTTTTCTGGGCCTGGAGTTGAAATACAACTGAGGCCTAGGTGATATCTCTAGGGAGGAAAGGGGGGGGTGGGGGGAGGCTCCATTCATATGCTAGGGGAGGAAAGGTCACCCCGGGGGCAGCTTCCCACCCGACAATTGATTGTCTATTGCAGTGATGGCGAACCTATGACACGCGTGTCAGAGGTGACACACGAACTCATTTTTTGGGTTGATTTTTCTTTGTTAAATGGCATTTAAATATATAAAATAAATATCAAAAATATAAGTCTTTGTTTTACTATGGTTGCAAAGATCAAAAAATGTCTATATGTGACCTCGCACCAAAGTTAGGGTTTTTCAAAATGCTGACACGCCAAGCTCAAAAGGTTCGCCATCACTGGCTATTGTTAGGCACCTGGGCTTTACACCCCATGACCTCCTGAACCTGGCCCAACGCGCTTGCTCTGCTCACATCTGCCTACAGCATCCCTACTCTCACCCGGCCAACAGCGGGTGAACCCTAACTCCTCCGGCCTCCCTCCGTGAAGCCTCTCAGCCCTTTCAGACCCCATCCCGCCCTCTCCCTCCACCCTCCCGCTTCCGTTCTCTAAAGGGGTCAGTGCTTCAGGTCGTCCCACAGCGCTCGGCACTCGGGTGTCATAAATAAGCCCCGCAGGGAGGGTTTAAATGTGATGGGCGGGTGAGGGGAACCCGAGGAATGAATGGAAGCTAACCGGCCAGGCGGAGGCAGGGCGAGCCCCGCCCCCGGACGCTCCCCGCCCCTTCTCTCTCGCCTTCCGACACAAATCACGTGTCCCGGCTGAACTCTCGTGAGATCTGAGACTTGCCCCGGAAGACCCGCCCCCAGGGCCGTGGAGGCCAATGGGAAAAAGTGACGGTTACGACCGTTGGGTTTCGAAGAAGCCAATGACTGCCGGGAGCGGAGAGTTTAAGACGCTCAGGCCTGCGCTTCTCAGGTCGGTCGGGGATCGCACCGGCTCGGAGCTGACGGTGAGTGGCGGCGGGGCCCTGCCGTGGGGGGCCCGTGGCCGAGGCGGCCCTGGCCGTGGGGCCGGCCTTTCCGAGCACGGACGCCTGTCTTCTTCCAGGGCTCGGCGGGCACCTTTCCCCTGCGGACGCTTCGCCCCCATGGCGCAGTTCGTGTTCGACAGCGACCTGCACTCCCTGCTGCAGCTGGACACCCCCATCCCCAATGCGCCCCCCGCGCGCTGGCAGCGCAAAGCTAAGGAAGCCTCGGGGCCCGCGCCCTCACCCATGCGGGCGGCCAATCGGTCCCACACCGCCGGCCGGACCCCGGGCCGCACTCCGGGTCAGTGGGTGCGGCGGGGCGGGGGGAGGGAGGGCGCACGGCTGACCGCGGCCTGCGGGTCCCCCCCCCCTCGGGAGCCTAGTGGGACTGTCTGCGTCCCTCTCTCCACCCCAGGCAAATCCGGCTCCAAGGTTCAGACCACCCCTAGCAAACCTGGCGGGGACCGCTATATCCCCCATCGCAGTGCGACCCAGATGGAAGTGGCCAGCTTCCTCCTGAGCAAGGAGAACAGCCATTCGGAAAACAGCCAGACGCCCACCAAGAAGGTATGCGCCCCCGAGGGCCTTGGGGCCAGCGGCCCGTCTGTGCAGTTCTCCCGCACGCCATCCCGCCTCACCCACCGCCACCCTTCCGTGCCAGGAACATCAGAAAGCCTGGGCTTTGAACCTGAACGGTTTTGACGTGGAGGAAGCCAAGATCCTTCGGCTCAGCGGGAAACCACAGAAAGTTCCAGAGGGTAAGACCCTAGGTTCACGGTGTTTGGAGGGAGGTGTCTGCCCTTCCCACCTAAGACTGAGGGTCCGGGGAGTGCTTCCAGGGGAGGGCCAGGGGAGGTTTCGGGTCTCCAGGGTCGAGTCTCGCTCCACTGGGACAGGTTACGAGAACAGACTGAAAGTCCTCTACAGCCAGAAGGCCACGCCGGGCTCCAGCAAGAGGACCTGCCGCTACATCCCCTCCCTGCCTGACCGGATCCTGGATGCCCCTGAAATCCGCAACGACTATTGTAAGCGTGGCCTGCGCCTTGCTGGGTGGGTGGGAAAAGAGGGCCTGGGCACCAGGCACACAGGGCAGCCTAAGTCCTTGCCTTTGCCCCTCTGGCAGACCTGAACCTGGTGGATTGGAGCTCGGGGAATGTGCTGGCCGTGGCTCTGGACAACAGTGTGTACTTGTGGAGCGCCAGCACTGGCGACATCCTGCAGCTGCTGCAGATGGAGCAGCCTGGAGACTATGTTTCCTCTGTGTCCTGGATCAAGGAGGGCAACTACCTGGCGGTGGGCACCAGCAGCGCGGAGGTCCAGGTGCGACGTGTCCCCGGGCTGCGGCTCTTGTCCCCAGACCCCGGGAGCTTGCCCAGAAGGAGGGTGCTGTGCCAGGGCCCAGTCTCTGATGGTCGTGGTCCTCTCTCTCTAGCTATGGGATGTGCAGCAGCAGAAGCGGCTTCGGAACATGACCAGTCATTCTGCCCGAGTGGGCGCCCTGTGTTGGAATAGCTACATACTGTCCAGGTCAGTGGTTTTTGCTAGTCTGTTGCAAGATCAGGCTATGATTTTTTTTTTGCCCTCCCCCCACTGTACACCCCTGAAGGGAAGCAGCTTTGCCCTACAGTGGCATTTGGCACTGCCACAGGACCTGATTCCCATCTTCCTTCTTGCAGTGGCTCACGCTCTGGTCACATCCATCACCATGATGTTCGGGTAGCCGAACACCATGTGGCCACACTGAGTGGTCACAGCCAGGAAGTGTGTGGGCTGCGCTGGTCCCCAGATGGACGACATTTGGCCAGTGGTGGCAATGATAACTTGGTCAATGTGTGGCCTAGTGCTGCTTTAGAGGCGGGCTGGGTTCCCCTGCAGACATTCACCCAGCATCAAGGGGCTGTCAAGGTAAGAGGGGCTCAGCTGGGGCCTCTGCAGACCCTCACCCAGAACCTGGGGAATATTACAGGGAGATGGGATGCTGGGATTGGACTAGGTTAGTCTAGGACCCTCTATAACTCCCTGCCAACTCCACTTTTGTCCCATCTAGGCTGTAGCTTGGTGTCCCTGGCAGTCCAATATACTGGCAACTGGAGGGGGCACCAGTGATCGGCACATTCGCATCTGGAACGTCTGCTCTGGGGCCTGTCTGAATGCTGTGGATGCCCACTCCCAGGTAGTCTTTCACCTATTCTAGTCTCTCACTCCTAGATACATTCTTACTCTTTACTTCTTCCTGGGCAACCATGTCCCCTTCAATGGCTTCACTAAGTCTGTACCCTGATGTTTTCCAAACTTCTAAATCAGCTCTCACTCAGGAGCTCCAGATCCATATTTCCAACACCCTGTGGCCCTTCTCCTGTCCCAAGTCCTATAGGTGGCACCAGCCTAATAGGTTCCTAATTAAACTTGTTACTTCCCTTTGCCTCCCTAAAATGTGTCCCTACGCCTCCTCCTCTTATATTCTTTGAGAGAACAGAACCTACTTAGAAATCTGAAAAAACCTAGAATCTTTCATCCTCCTCACCTAGTCACCAAGATAGCAGTTTTACCTCAGAATGTCATTCACAAGTGTTTCCTCCCCTCAGTGCACTGGTCTCAGTATTCTTAGCTCCTCTAGTCTGTCCTCTGCTGTGGTCTGGGTGGTATGTTACTGTCCTTAAATCCTGCAATGGTTCCCCATCACCTACAGCATATAACCCAAATCCATTAGAATTTGATGACTTGCTGGTGAGTCTCCCTGCAACGACTCCAGCTTCTCCTTCCATTCAACACCCATTCTGCCCACCTTCATTCTAGATTTGGGCTTTTGAGCCAGAGTTCAAATTCTGGCTCTGTCACCTACTAACTTAACTTGCTTGTGATCTTAGGCAACTTGCTGAACTTCCTTCTGCTCGATTCCTCATCTGTAAATGGATAACAGTTATAATTCTCAAAAGGCTTTTGTTAGGATCATCGCGACTCAAGTCTGAGTGACCTGGCAATGTTCCTAACTCTAGAATGGACTTACTTTGATTTGAGTAGTCGGCTCTATGCTGTATCTACACCATCCCCTCTCCACAGGTGTGCTCCATCCTCTGGTCTTCCCACTACAAGGAACTTATCTCAGGTCATGGCTTTGCCCAGAACCAGCTGGTTATTTGGAAGTACCCAACCATGGTCAAGGTGGCTGAGCTCAAAGGTATGTGCTAAATGACAGAAGCCAGACACAAAAGACTACATATTGTACGATTATTTATATGGACTATCCAGAAGAGGCAAATGCAGAAAGATATAACAGACTAATGGTTACCAGGGTCTGGAGGGAAAGGGTAATGTGTGCTTTTCTTTATGGAGTGATGAAAATGGTCTGGAATTATAGTTGTGATGATTACACAACTTTGTGACTATACTAAAAAGCAATGAATTGTACAATTTAAAAGAATAAATTTTATGGCATGTAAATTATTATCTCAAAGCTGTTACAAAAAAACAAAACCCAAAAAAGGTAGGTTTGCCCTTAAAATTGGAGAGTTGTAGTATGTCTCCATTCATGTGCTGCTCTTACTTTTTCCTTTCTCATGCCCAGGTCACACAGCCCGGGTCCTAAGTTTGGCCATGAGTCCAGATGGAGCCACGGTGGCATCAGCAGCAGCAGATGAGACCCTACGCATGTGGCGCTGCTTTGAGTTGGACCCTGCACGGCGGCGGGAGCGGGAAAAGGCTAGTGCAACCAAAAGCAGCCTTATCCATCAAGGCATCCGTTGAGGACCAACTCATCACTTCAGTTTTTATGTTTGCTTTTTTTATTTTTCTAATAAAGTCATGTCTCTCTTCTCCTTGCATGACCTCTGTCTCTGGCTTTCTCAAGGGTCCTCTCCTGTGTTTGAGAGCTAGAATGTCCATCCTGTGGGAGCCTTGACAGGGACAGCAGGCTTTGTACCCCACCTCCTCCACCTACATATACGTACACACACAGCCGCAGTAGTTTCCTCTGTCACCTTTAATGAAGACACGAGTGAGCAGCCTCCACAGGCTGTATTCCCAGGCCTCCCACCCACTCGGATGTATGGGTGGGAAGGAGGGAGCCTGGGTCCGTAGTGACAGATTATTGCTGACCTCTTCAGTGTGAGGAAAAAGGCCACAAGACCCTGGTGGGGGCCAGTCCTGAGTGCTTCTCTCCCAAGTTTAAGGCAGGGAGGGGGAAGTAAGCGTCCAGCCCTTTCTGCCCCCAGCTCGAGTGGCAGAGGGCAACGAGGCCACGTCCCTGGGGCTGGCTGGGACAAGTGGGTGAGGAACGGAAGCTGTGGTCCCTGTGTACCAGCTGTGGGGAGGGGAAGGCTTGTCCCCTGCTCAGTCCTGACCACATAATCCCTGGTCACAGGTGTAGTTGGGGAGGACAATGATGGATGCTGCCCAAGGTGCAGTCCTGAGGCACTTAGGTGGGCGCCTAGCAAGAGCATGGTTCTCAGTTGGCCTTGACTTTGGCAGTACCTGGAGCTCCATTTTGCTGAACTACACGGGGCAGCCGTTTGCCTTTGGTGTAAGAATGATACCAGAAATTGGAGAAGAGCACGAAGAAGATGGTGCCGTACATCCAGATGAGGTGGATGATGACTGGGTACTGGTAGTTACAGCTGGGCATGAAGTAGTACTGGGAGATGTGCAGCGAGACCAGGACAAACTGGATCTAGGAAAGAGAAAGGCAAGGGTCAGAGGGAATACTGAGAGGGCTGGAGGGAAGGGGTAGAGAAAGACTGAACACTGAGTGGGGGGATAGTATCAAAGGTGAGAGAGGCTGGATAAAGGAAGGATCCAGACTAGTAGTATTGGGATGGTATAGACCAGGTCCAGGCCCCTCACCAGCTGGATGGCTGTCATGTGCTTTTTCCACCAAAGGTAGGGCTGAGCCACAGGGCCAAGGGCAGATAGTCCATAGTACAGGTACATGATGACATGCACAGAGGAGTTTACCATGGCATGGAAAGAGCCCATTCCTCCTGTGGATGGACAATGAACAGGGTCAGGAGAGTCGAGCCTCTAATCCCCAGTGCCTGCCTCTTCTTCCCCCAATGGCCTTCACCACTCACCTGGGGCAATTCTCACTCCCCACCACCAGCTCCAGGGAAGCACTGAGTGATGGAAGACATGTAGGAAGGTCACCTGTCCATCTTTTTTCCGGAGAATAAAGATCACCTGAGCAGAGGGGAAAGGAGTTTCAGAGTCAGGGCCTCTCACTCCTTTCTCCCCCACCTCAAGTTTTCATTTCATATGCTCTCACCGTGTCCATGAGTTCAATGAACTTGGAGAAGAGGAAGAGCCAGGCCACTCGAACCATCTGCAAGAAGTCAGGGCAGCCTTAGGACCCCACCCCTCACTACTAACTAGAGCCTCTCTAAACTGGCCCATGAACACAGGTCACACCCAAATTGCTCCTATCCCCAGGTTGTTTACGGTGTAGACACCCCCGCCCCTCAAACTCCCTCCTACTTACCCTCAGTGCCTCCGGGTTGTTGGAAAAGTCCACAGGGTCACAGCGCCAGGTGTAGCTACTCAGCCAGCCAGACATCAGGAACTAGAAATGGGATGTGGATTAGACCACCAGAATGCGCTCCCTCCCCCCATTCCCTCCCGTTTTCTAGTTGAAGAGATGGATCTGAGACTTTCTGGAAAGGAGATGCATGCTCTGGCTCTAAGGCCTGCCCCTTACCCTGCCAGCAGAAATTAAAGCCTAGGCATCCCGGGGTCCCACCTCATAGACAATGTAGAGGGAGAGGGCCACCAGTGAGAAGTTGTAGACAACCATGAAACCACGCAGTTGGAAGGGCTTCCGATTGGCCATGATTCGAGGCCCAAGTGAGAGAACGAAGTACACATAAGTCAGGAGAATGGAGGTCATTAGCAAGGGGGACCCCATCAAAGGGTAGCCCTGTATCCGGGGATCTGCAAATAAGGATCAAAGGAGTCAGGAAGTGCCACAGGGTTCAAAGGGTCCCAATCAGGTGTACAGATATGAGGTCAGGTCACAAAGGGTCAAAGGGGTTGGTAGGGCTTTCCATTAGGTGAACAGCCCTAGACCCAGAGATCTCAGGGCAGGAGGGAGGTAGGGCAGGTGGACAGCATCTTACCCCCATGCTTCATCATGCTCTGGTACACGTTCACAAGAGCTTCCATCCTAGTTAACGACTCTGGGGAGATATGGAAGGCGGGTGTCAGCCAGGGCTGTGTTCTCCCATCTTACCCCTGACCCACAGACAGGACAGAGACCAGACAACCCCCGATACTCATCGCAAAAGGATATAACAGAGAGAGGAAGGAATTGCTGGGGCTAGGGGTAGGAGGAGACAGTCTGGCAGGGGCATCTGCTTCCCACACATCCTGCCTGCCTGGGAAGGGCTGTTCCACCCTTCCTCTCCACACCTTCCTCTCTTCTCTTCACTCTCTGCTCTTCTCTGGTGGTTTTTACTTCATGACCCTCCCCTCTTCCTCCATAAGAAAACTCTCAATTTTGATCTCTTTTTAGAAAGTCTTACCTCTCACTTACAGAAAATTCATCTCCCGAATGAACTGCCTCTCCCTTCCTCACCAAAGCCTTTGGCCTCTCCAGCTCTGGGTCGTTCTTCTCTCCAGGGATCCTCCCCTCCAACCTCTCCTGGCCCATTTCCAGATGCCCTTCTCCTGGGATTGTCCTTCCCAGGACTCCCCTCTCCCGAGGGTCCCTCCTTTGCCCTGCCGGGACTCTCACTTCCCAGCCCTTCCTGCCCATCCTGTCCCTTCTTGGTTGGTCCCTCCTGTCCCTTCCGGGACTCTCACCTCCCAATCCCGCCTGCCCCTTCCTCCTCTCCCCTGCTGAGACATTCCCAGGCTCTTCTGGGCCCTCCAGACTCTCACCTCCAGCCTCTCGGCTCCTCTCCGGTGCTCTCCTCTTGCCCTTCCTCTCTGGGAGCCTGGCTCTTTGAGACTCCTGCCCTGGCAGCTCCACCTGTCTGACTAGATCTGGCGGCAGCCCCGCCCTCCACCCACCCCCGCTGCACTGCACATGGGGTGGAGGGTGGGTCCAGGCCACAGGTCAGTGCCTGGAGGAGCAGGACCCACGAGGATTGAGAAAGCCAAGTAAAGGTGGGACTCACCGTCTACCCACCCTCTCTAGATCAGCCAGATGGTCTAAGGTTTTAGGTTTTGAATCACAAACCTGCTGAGGCTCCAGTCCCAGCCCAAACCTCGGAGCAAAGAGAACTGCAGAAAACCCACACCCAGCATCTGCTAAACTAGCCATAAATTCTCAGTTTGTCCTACTTTAAATGGGTACTATCACCCTTCTCTCCCAGGGAGGGGCAGGGAAGCCAGTGGCATGTGAGGAGGTGGGGACGTGGGGGAGGTCTCAGGAATCTTCCCCTCCCTCAGGGAGGAGTCTAATGATCTAGGCCCTCTCCCCCTCAGGACCTCAAGGAATGACGGAGGAGGGCTCACTGGGGCACAAAAGCCAGACCCAGGGGAGCCTGGGGCTCTGACGAAGTCCCAGAGGGATAATGCAGTCCCTGAACAGCCCGGGCAGCAGATGCTCTGAGAGCGACCTGCGCAGGTACTGAGTGAAGAACACACCTGACACATCCACCGAGGCTGCACATGCACCCGTCACACACACATACTGGGCCCCCATCCCACAGACGCTCCCCCAACCTCCATGTCAACCCCCAACTGCCCCACCATCGTCAGGCCCAAGTCCTTCCATACACACATGGTCTCACACACACCTGCCTCTCACACAGCTCTCCCCTCACCCACCCAATGACCATATCACCAAGGGCTAGCACACATATGCACACATGGAGCCTACACAACTCCTGCCGGCAACAACTGCCCTCCTCTGCCACACCACCCAAACAAGCCTCCGTGGACGCTGACATGCATAGTTTCTAAAACTCAGACCTGCTCCAAAAATACATTCACTCTAGTGAACACGCCCTAAACACTCACACATCCTCCTCGGTCCTACATTACCATGTGCAAATGCTTATGCTCACACATACATGAGTCACAGATAAATGTGGTCACATACATAAGCTCATACAGCCCACTTAGCAGGGAATGTATATAAAATCACCCATACCACATGCTGACACACACCTGTCCTCGGTCAAGCATACAGATCTCTTTTCACAGATGACGATCATTCATTCATTCATTCATTCACAATCATATTTTTGCTGTTCGCCTATTCTGTGGGAGGGCCGACCAGGAGAGGGTAACATGTGCTCTAACACACAGTTCCTTCCTGACCCATGAGTTTGCCAGCTTGTTATCTCTCTCAACCACCACACTCGCAGGCACCCTGGAGGTCAGGAGTGGCTCAAGGTTCTGGAAAGGACCTCTCTCCAAGCTAGAGAGGAATCTGGGTGTGTCCCCGCAGGGGAACTCGGTTCTTCCTTTTAAGATGGATGGAAGGGAAAAGGAAACAGGCAGAGGGAGGGGGAGGGGGAAAGAGGAGGGAAGAGAAGGGAGGAGGGAGGGAGGGGACAAGAGGGAAGAGGGATAAGACCTAGAGGTGGTGGAGGAAGGCCTAGGTTTGAGTAAATGGGGTCCACGCACGGGAGGGCGGTTGCTGGAGAGGCCCAGCCCCAGAGAGCTGGGACCTCCCACTCACTCTCCCCAGGAACAGCCTCGCCCACAGCCAGGGCAGGGCAGGGCCGGGCGAGCCAGGCAGGGGGCCCCGGGCACGTGGAGCGCCCGCCCAGGAAAGGTCCAGACTCACCAGTGGGGGGCCAGGCAGGCAGCAGTGGAGGGCTCGGAGGGAGCAGGGCCAGAGAGAAGTCCCCAGGGCCAGCCTGCCTGCCACTTCCTCATCTGCTGGGCCGACTTTCTGTCACCAGAGGGGGAGGGGGCGGGCCGGGTGGGGGGCGCTTGCTGATTGGGTCTTCGGCTGAGGCAGGAGGGGCAGTCCAGCCTCAACTGGGCTCGGCCCT